TCTTGTGTGAATTGGCACTAAGCCTTCTTTCTAAGCATACTTCCCTATAACGAATCGCTGGTACAAAAAATGTAAACAATCTACCTAAGTACCCCTTTTACACACCTATATCTGTGGTCACATGCCTCTTCAGTGCTCAGGAGAAGTTTTGCCTAGAGATGGACTGAAGATGATCCTTACACAAACTGTTAAATGCACAGAAGAAATACATATTAGAACGTTTTACCTGCCAAAGTACGGTACTTGTCTGTCCATTCACTTGTAAGATTTACATCAGGACTAGAGATCGATCTGATTTTTCTCTGCAGCAGTTGAATAACATTTATGGGGCTTGCCACCCCCCCAGCAAGTGACTGGACAGAAAAAGGAGACGAAGCACACCAATAAACTCATCTGTCTTTCACTCTGCTCTCTCCTCCTGTCTGCATGCTCCATGTTTGCTCATGAACACTGTAGCACAATGAATTGGCTGCTTATTTTGCTTTTCCCTCCCCCAGCCTGAGCTTTGCTGTATAGCAGATTGTAAGAGACCAATACTTATGTTATTACTTACATTAAAAAAAATACAGTAGATAATGTATTATTACAATTTTAATTCATTTGTGTCTTTTATATTTGCCTGGAATTCAGCTTAACTAAGTTTCTCACATGTATTGCCTGCACTCCACTGCACTGCAAAGAGTTAAACAAGGTTTGGCTGTTCCTACTCATACTTTAACATTTTATTGTAATGAATTTCTGGAATGTACAGAAGTGATGGTGTGATCTGCTCAGTACATACAGATCATAAACCACAAGCTACAAACCCTCTTCTCTAAACCAACCTCCTCTTGTGGTGAATGTGGATCTGGGCTTAAACAGATCTATTTTGTACAATCTTCTGACAATGTCATTAAAAAAAACAATTGCTTTTAAAAGGGATTCTTTACTTAGAGAATCCAGTGTTTTCTCCTACATAGGCCTGATGACCCCAATCCTGGGTAATCCTGAATTACTTCTCAGGATATCCTCTCACAGATTGCCTTGGAGAGCCTCTTGTACTATCTCCCCGATCTTTACAGCTCTATCCTCAAACAGCATACTATCATATACAGTGGTATTGATAGCATAAAATAAAAGGTAACAAAAATCGGCAGCTAGCATACAAGGCAATCCTCAGCACCTTAGATCAGAATATAAATATTTGGGGTATGCAGCGCTATAATAAATGATATAATACTAAAATATTAAATCACAGCATATCCGCTGGAACACAATATCATCAAATTGAGCACAAAAAGTCTTATATGTGATGAATAAATACAGCAATAAGCTCCTGTCGATTAAAAAAATATATGAAATATAAACAAATGACAGGAGCTTCAGATGTTCACTTGATCATAAATCCTGAAGATTCTAGTACAATATTGCGCTTACCACAGGAACATACAAACTGAGCGTTGTATGTATGTCATCAGGTATACCATCAGCGAATGGAAAGGCCTGGACAGCAATGCGGGCAGTAACCGGTCATCCACGGTAGACACTCGGGGATATCAGCAAACACTCGGGGGTCACATCTGGCTCACCGGTGGGTCCAACGACATCCAGCCTCCTGGTGGTACTTTTCCTGAGATGATCCACCTTGCACAGCTCGCAAATAACGAGCCAAAAGGCAATATGGTACTAATAGTGAAGCACGTCTTTATTCTGATATCTCCAAAATAAAATTAGCATACAACTCACATTTGAGCTAACATCGGGTATTTCCAGGTATATTCCAGGATCCCTGGTGGTTAATGGCTCCCTGATGGTTAGTGGCGTCTGCTGGGTGGATCCACCCATGCTTTGATCTAAACCATGGGTCTCCAAACTTTCTAAAGAAAGGGCAAGCTTACTGTCCTTCAGACTTTATAGGGGGCTGGACTCTGGCCAGTGGGAGTACACAATTAGCAGAAGTAAAAAAAAGATATATATCATAGTGCCTGTGTTCAGTAGCAGGAGGAATAGTGACCCATCACTCGTGTCAGTGAGAGGAAAAGTGCCCCATCATTGGTATGAGTGGGAGGAATAGTGCCATATTTGTTGGTGTAAATGGAAGGAATGTGTGCCTCATCATTGGTGTCAGTTGGAAGAATGGTGCCTAATGGTTAGTGTCGTTGGGAGGAATAGTGCCTCACATCAGTGGAAGGAACAGAGCCCCAAGGACCGGATAAAAGTCAGCAGAGGGTCACATCCAGCCCACGGGCTACAGTTTGGAGACCCCTGATCTAAACCATTCCATTGTAGCTCTGGCTGTATGTTTAGCGTCATTGTCCTGTTGAAAGGTGAACTTCCACCACAGTCTCAAGTCTTTTGCAGACTCTAACAGGTGTTCTTCTAAGATTGTCCTGTATTTGGCTCCATCCATCTTTCCATCAACTCTGACCAGCTTCCCTGTCCTTGCTAAAGAAAAGCATCCCCACAACATGATGCTGCCAGCATCATGTTTCATGGTGGGGATGGTGTGTTCAGGGTGATGTACAGTGCTCGTTTTCCGCCACACATAGTGTTTTGCTCTTAGGCTAAAAAGTTCAATTTTGGTCTCCTCTGTCCAGATCACTTTTTCCACATGTTTTCTGTGTCCCCCACATGGCTTCTCGCAAACTGCAAACAGGACTTCTTATGGCTTTCTTTCAACAATGGCTTTGTTCTTCCATAAACGCCAGATTTGTGGAGTGAACGACTAATTTTTGGATGATGGATTGAACAGTGTTCTGTGAGATGTTCAAAGCTAGGGATATTTTTTTTATAACCTGACCCTGATTTAAACTTCTCCACAACTTTATCCCTGACCTATCTGGTATATTCCTTGGCCTTCATGATTCTTTTTTTTTCACTAATGTTCTCTAACAAACCTCTGAAGGCTTCACAGAACAGCTGTATTTATACAGAGATTAAATTACACACAGGTGGACTCTGTGTTTACTAATTACGTGACTTCTAAAGGCCATTGGTTCCACTAGATTTTAGTTTTGGGTATCAGAGTAAAGGGGGCTGAATACAAATGCATGTAATTTTGTAAATCATTTTGAAAATCATTTATGATTTTCCTTCCACTTCACAATTATGTGCCACTTTGTGTTGGTCTATCACATAAAATCCCAATAAAATACACTTGCGTGATTGGTTGTAACATAACAAAATGTGAAAAATTTCAAGGGTTATGAATACTTTTTCAAGGCACTGTATGTCTCTCATAGAGTATGAAGAAAAAATCTCCAGGCCAATATCTGACTTATTTTGGAAGGACTATAACATCTACAATATTTATCCTCCTGCGCTGCTTTGCCTAATATAAATAAAGGACAGCTGCTAACATCCAATCCTCCCCTTAAACTGGACAAATAGATAAATTGGTATGATAATGAAGTAGGGCTATAAATAAACTATTACCTTTTAAAATAGTAATGCACAATTATACACAGATCTATTCAGTGATATTTGTAGGTGATTAGTGCAATATATATCAAATCGGAATATCCAAGTGATAATTCAAAAAATAATAAGTGGCACACAGTGATTCCCTATATAGGGATGTAGGTCACCATATATAGGTGATATAATTGCAAATGTCCACAGCAATCAGTGATTTCACATATGAGATAGCACCCACAATTCTTCAAAACATGCTCCTGTGTTGGTGCAGGTGGTGAGAGATAATCCTAAATGGCAGGCATGCCCACTCACCTTCCCCCTGTGACCTACAGGGGCCACAACGCCTTATAGATCACTCAGGATCCTGCTCGCTCCTCTCCAGGGTACAGATAGCTCCACATATCTCAGTAGCCTTTAATCCATCTTCAATAGTTTGGTATATACCCTTGTAAACTCGTGATGTTTTGGGATCATACAACAACAAAAAACACAAAGATCCTCCATAGTGCAAAAACTCTCTAGGGTGTACTGAGAGCACTCTGGTGTACCAAGATGGCGCTGGACTGGAAGTGCGTCACATCGTCGCTTCTACACGTTACGCCATGCCCCTCGTAGCTTCGTCAGGATCCTAAAAAAAAAACAACTAAAAAACTCCTCTAGAAACCCACTAGTCCTGATCCTTTTTTTTTTTTTTTTTTCAAAATGTCAAAAGCCAAAAACAGCAGCTGTAAAAATGTCAAGTGTGCATAAGGACTTATTGTAAAACAGAGCCAGTCACTTCGGCACTGCAGCACACAGTGTGTTTTTGTGCATTGCATCAAAAGAATTAGTACATAAACTATATTTCCAAAAGTATTGGGGTGCCTGCCTTTACACACACATGAACTTTAATGGCATCCCAGTCTTAGTCCGTAGGGTTCAGTATTGAGTTGGCCCACTCGTTGAAGCTCTAACAGCTTCAACTCTTCTGGTAAGGCTGTACACAATCTTTAGGAGTGTGTCTATGGGAATGTTTGACCATTCTTCCAGAAGCACATTTGTGAGGTCAGGCACTGATGTCGGATGAGAAGGCCTGGCTCGCAGTCTCCAGCCTAATTAATTCCAAAGGTGTTCTGTCAGGTTTAGGTCAGGACCTTTGCAGGCCAGTCAAGTTTCCTCCACTCCAAACTCACTCATCCATTTCTTTATGGACCTTCCTTTGTGCACTGGTGCGCCATCTTGTTGGAATAGTAAGTGGTCATCCCCAAACTGTTCCCACAAAGTTGGGAGCATGAAATTGTCCAAATAGTCTTGGTATGCTGACGCCTTAAGAATTCTCTTCACTGGAACTAAGGGGCCAAGCCCAACCTCTGAAAAACATCCCTACGCCATAATCCCCCATCCACCAAACTTTACACTTGGCACAATGCAGTCACGCAAGTACCATTTTCCTGGCAACTGCCAAATCCAGACACATCCATTGGATTGTCAGACAGGAGTGTGATTTGTCACTCCAGAGAACACATCTCCACTGCTCTAGAGTCCGGTGGCGGTGTGCTTTACACCATTACATCTGACACTTTGCATTGCACTTGGTGATGTAAGGCTTGGATGCAGCTGCTCGACCATGGAAACCCATTCCATGAAGCTCTCTATGCACTGTTAGGCTAATCTGAAGGCCACACGAAGGATGGAGGATATTTAGCTGTTGACTGTGCAGAGTTGGCGAATTCTGTGCACTGTGAGCTTCAGTATGCGCTGAACCCGCTCTGTCATTTTACATGGCCTACCACTTTGTGTCTAAGTTGCTGTTGTTCCCAGTTGCTTCCACTTTGTTATAATAACACTAACAGTTGACCATGGAATATTTAGTAGCAAGGAAATTTCACAGATGGACTTATTGCACAGGTGGCAACCTATCACGGGACCATGTTTGAATCCACTGAAATCCTGAGAGCGACCCATTCTTTCACAAATGTTTGTAGAAGCAGTCTGCATGCCTAGGTGGTTGATTTTATACACCTGTGGCCATGGAGGTGATTGGAACACCTCAATCCAGTGATTTGCAGGGGTGTCCCAATACTTTTGGCAATAATAGTGTATGTTTTTGCCTGCATTATGTTGTGTTGGCAGTCTGTTCAATTAATTAAGATGCCTTAACACAACATACAATAATACACGTTCATTAATACAACACAGGAAAAAGATGTGACTGGGTTCTTAATGTAATCCTGTCATAAAACCTAGGAACTTCAGTTGAAACGATAAAAAAATTCTTATTCATGATACCAAAATGATTGCTAGATCTATATACATAGGTATCAGAATTAATATTCAAGTCCCAATTTGTGCTAGAAAAGTTGAACTTGGTCCCAAGCCCCACACTCCCAGCTGGTCCTAAAATATGAACAAAGCATATCTCTCTGTAGCATGTGTGCTTCTCTCAATCCAGTGCATTAGGTGGTACTTCTGTCTGCTACCGTGTTTCCCTGTTATCTGCAAGAGTCTCTTCTGACAGATTTTCCTGACCCCAAAAGAACAAAAAAGGTGATGGGGAAGGATTTTCAGCACACAGCCTTTGGTTGATAGCCTCAGTTCTTTTCCTGTGTGCTGCGTGAAAGGAGGTGTGTCCTTTCCCTCTAATCAGCTCTCACTGAGCTTTGCAGAGTGTAACATCAGCTACCCACCTCCTGTATGCTCAGACAAACTTTATAAAGCGTAAAGGAGAGGGCCGCAGATAAATAGGTAAAACTTATACAGGAGGATTTGTTTCATCTCTGTATCACCTGAGACTGGTCACTTCACTGGGTATATGTAATAACTTTAATGTGATTGGCAGTCCCTTTGACAAAAAAAAGTGGGGGTGGGGACAGGGGAGGCACCACAGATCATTTTGAAATGGAGTTTCAATTGCAGGCAGCCCGTGTATGAAAATGTTTTTCATTATGTGTTTAAATTGCCATTATTTGAATAGATCTAAACAAAAAAAACAAAAGATTAAAGCATCACTGTTAACAATTTAATATGATCGTGTATTACCTTTTATTGTAAATTTCTTGATGTGTAATTTCGTTAATATGATCATCAGGGCCTTCAAAGGCAACATTATATGAGTGGGCATATGTAAGAATTTGAATATTTATAAAATATAATAATATAAGACTAGATTTACATTTTTGCATAAGTTCATCCACAACTGGTTCTCTTTAAGTCAACAGGTCTTTATATGTTCAAGAAGGAAATTTTCATAGTCCGTGTTTACTTTGGACCAGAAAGAAAGTAGATTGCATGTGTACTTTTGTAAAGAATCATCTCTTTCATTAGAGTATCTAAAGTCTATAATATGACCTTGTATACATAGCAGCACTGCAACTGGATCCGCTATCACCGTATCTCAAGAGAGCTATTGAATATTAACTTCAGCCTTTTTATAGATACAGTATTTTCTCCATTGAAAATGTGCCGAGAATATGTAATCAAACTGAAACATGACTTTATGATGGAGACACAATTTAAACATTCACACATATATTCATGGGTGTGCCTGAGTTTAAACCAGATATTTATGTAACCATAAATACTGGCAACGTTATGGTTAGTGAATCTGCATGAGAGGTTATAAATTCTATAAAATGTTAAAATTCACAGATATACCAATACAGCTAATGTAAATCAAATTTATGATTCACCAATATTAATCTCAAACAACATTGATATTAGTATTAGAAGCAAATCCTACATAAATACCAACATAGTAGTTGTAATATTGTTATTAATATTAATACTATGCACAAATTGTATGTAAACCCAAAATCTATTTTTCAGTGTATTTATCATCACTGTGTACAGTGCCTCACCATACATTGTTTTCTTACGTGAATCACTTTTTTGTTAATCTGTTGCAATCTTTTGCATCTTGCCAATAACAGCATTTTTTATTGTCTGGGAACACTTAGGCATGCCATACATCATGCAATTTTCTTTCCTTCAACCATGGGTTTCAGGAAAGGAAACTGCTAGATTCCTCCAGCAACACAGTCAGTACTGATGGGGGAATCCCTCCCGCTATGCTGTTGTATACTGACAGCAGGAGGTTTCTCAGCCATCAGAATACAATATTTCACTGCTGGTGGCTATAGTCACTGCTAATTGCATGGCAGTGTCTTAGGCTAGATTCCTCCAGCAGCACAGTCAGTACTGATGGGGGAATCCCTTCCGCTACGCTGTTGTATACTGACAGCAGGAGGTTTCTCAGCCATCAGAATACAATATTTCACTGCTGGTGGCTATAGTCACTGCTAATTGCATGGCAGTGTCTTAGGCTAGATTCCTCCAGCAGCACAGTCAGTACTGATGGGGGAATCCCTTCCGCTACGCTGTTGTATACTGACAGCAGGAGTTTCTCAGCCATCAGAATACAATATTTCACTGCTGGTGGCTATAGTCACTGCTAATTGCAAGGCAGTGTCTCAGGCCAGTCATAGACGAGTTGAAAACCGAACGTTCTGTCGACTGAAAAACGAAAATGGTGCATACAGTTGTGCTATCATTTGTTTAGTTTTTCTAAACAAAATCCAGCATGTTGGATCAGGAGTTTTCGATTGTGACGCAAAAATCACATGTCACAGCTGGCACAGTAATGGTGTGAACAATTAACGATCAAGAATTTTCAACTAGTCTATGGCCTGCTTTAGTGTTGTTAGCCTGCAACATGAAGAGCTGTTATTGGTAAGATCTCCAAGTAAGAAACTGCAACAGATTCACAAAGAGTATTTGCTTAGTAGCAGTAGTAGTAAATATTAAGCTATAAAAATGCAAAAAAGGATTTTTTTTTGCTGTTGTAATTGGCCACACGTACTTTAAAGATGGGTGGAAGAGGGAATTATAGAACGTGAAAAGCTTCCCTGAGCTAGTTCGCTAACTGCCATCTTAATATATTCCCAGCTAGTAACAGTAAGGTGGTCATGGACTTTTGTAAGTTATACATGAACTTCAAGCAGTGGACAAATTAGTCGGCCCACCAATAAATTGAATGGGCATTTGTAAGTTGTGAGACATATCAAATTTAATTAGGTAGTTTTGATTACATTTATTTAGAATACGCTCTGCTCACTTAGGTGGTCAGATCTTTTTAAGAACTTTGTCCTTGAGAACCTTGTCCTTGATTTAGTTTTGAGTTGCAGTAGTTTTATTATTTAAGTGTTCTTGCATGGCAAGAGCACTTACTGTTATCTCACATATATATTCTTATTATAGCCAAATTTACCACCCTAACTCCTCCCACAGTTTTTACACTACATAGACAAGTAATATAGTGCAGATTGTTCCCGATTGGTGTGCTATTACTTTGTGGAACGTTTCGCCAAATGGCTCAAAAAATATCGCAGTTTTTGTGGCAAAATTTTCCCATAGGAATGAATGGAGGCATGATCTAAACTACAGTGGGAGCTGACAAAAGCTACAGTGTGAGATGAGAAATCAGAACATGATTTCTAAACTGCCATCACTCCCTCATTTTCAAGCCCACCTACACAAATCTTATATCAACACGTTCAGCTAACCCTGCTGCCACTAAAAATACGGCTAAGCCATAGTCCTGATCGTTTTCACAATATGACCATTTGTTTGCAACTCACGCAGCCCATTGACATTCATTGAAACTCCACTCCCAGCCACCTGAAATTTTAAGGGCCATTCTAAACTGCGACTGTGCCTTCATTTTTAATATTTCAGAGACATACTATGCATCAAAATGTAGGTACCTGGGTCTTGTGATTCTCACAATATAAAGCTCTTTGGTGTAGGATTTACAATTTTTAAACTACAACCGTTTGAAGATGGCAACCGCCAGTGAAGTGAGCAAGTTGGAGCAGTTTGTTTTTAACCGCTCTTCTCTGCCCTTGCTGTAGAGTGAGTTGCCATAGGAACCCAGGTATGTGAGCAGGCAGCAGAGTGACAAAAGCTAGAGTGTGAGCTGAAAAATAAAAGTTGAAATGCATTTCTCACTCTATCAAGCTTGCCATGTGCACTTTTTAAATTTGATCAATCAGTTGGTTAGTGTAATGTTTACTATCTTTACTCACTCCAAACACTCCACACAGTTACTCTGCCCACTCCATAAAGTTACTCTGCCCAGTCCAACCTTTTCACAGTTACTCCAGCCACTCCAACCACACAACAGTTACTCAAGCCACTCCACCCAGTTACTCCGCCCACTCCAGTTATAGACTACTGGTGGAGGCAAGAACACTTCACACAATTTCCCCAGAAATTGTAGCTTCTCTAGTTTAGTATTGTCCTCCAAATTTAATATGGTTTCTGTGGCTTCATTCCACATCTGTCAGAATTTTGCCCAATAAATACAAATTTAAGTCCTCATGCACACTGGACGTTTTCAGAACGCTGGTAACGTTAACGGTAACCAATCATAACCAATCAGCTTCCAGGTTTTAGGGTTCATTTACACGGCAGCTGATAAACTCACATTTAGGAACTTTTCTGCATTTTTTTGCGTAGCCCCTGAATTCTCCCTAATGTTTTCCTATGTGTCCATGTACATTATGTTGTTTACAGTCATTTACAGGCAGTTGAGTTTACAGTTGTTTTTTTGAATGCACCAAACTTGCGTTCAGGAGTAGATTTTATCAGCATTTCAAATGCCAAATGCTTGTAAACGCATTTAACCGCGTTTATAAGCCTTTGCGTTTCGAAGCGTTTTTTTTAACTTTTCCATACCCAAATGCTGTCCAAAGCCTTTTTTCATCATCAGAAATGCATGCAAAGTGTTTTCCATGTATTAAAAAAAATGATAAAAATTTCATATGGGTACAGTGTTTGACCGCGCAATTGTCATTCAGGGAAGGGGGTATAAGTGCCCTGTAGGTTACTGGTTAATAACACATTACCACCTTGAGTTTTCTTTAATTTTTTTGATTATATATATATGTATGTTAATATCGAGAGGCTGCACCAGCTACTTCCTGAGATGACAGCAGACA